TATTTGAGAATATCTCTACGTCTTTTCCATTTAAAAAGGCTAAACTAAGACACTAAGTGCAAGTATACGATTTCGAATCTGTCTGCATCTTAACACAAATGAATTTCTAATTTATCTTCAAATCATGGAGCGCAAAAACAACGCGACTTTGCATAGATTTCTGTAATCTTTATAACTTCCTTACAAAGCATGTGAGCATCACAAAATATAAAAACACGAATTTGAACTGTATAAGGAATAGCCAAAAGATTACAAAAGTACTAAATTGAGCTAAGTAAAGGCAAGGTAAAATCCCTTTAAGTATGTGATATTAAACAGGATGTTATCTACTGTTGAGAAATACAAATACCTATTGAAATAAGTTTACGTCCGGGTTTTATCATAACCATATCATCGTGACATACATAAAGTACAGACTGTATTTATTTAAACTTTTTGAGGGTCTTTATCAAGGACGTGGTCATAAATTGTCGGCGATCCTTCTTAAAACCTTTCTTGTATCTGATTGGATAAAACAATCGGATGATTTACGAGACTTTTAACCTCAAGTCGGATAATTTGTAAAAAATCTGAAAATATTATTTCTCGATGGGGCTGAAGATTAAACCCCTTATCTCGCTGATATCATACACACTATTAAGGAACAAAATCAATGGCTTTTCTATGAATCAGTAAGTGAGAGAGTCGAGTAAGGACCACACAGTCAGTCTATTTTCTGAGGGGGTTGGGAGGGTGAGCTGAAGAAACTCCACTGATATAAATCTTTGATTCGAAAGTACTGTGTTTGACTTAGAAAAATGCACTGAGAAGTGTTAAAACAGTTAAATTATTGGTTCAAAGTTCTCAGAACTTTCCTGGTTACATTTTTTTTAAAAGCAATTATCAAAAAGCTCATCTTGTGCAGTGTGCATCAGTTGTATTGACATTAAGATTCAAGGATAACATGGTGGAAGTGCATAAAATCAATGAAGCAAATATCGAGCATATACTGGGTTTCCCCTAAAAAGCTAATACCTGTTTCATATTATGATACAATGATTTGTCTGTTCGGTGACTTGAATGATTCCCTGCCAATGATTCTATATCACTGCCAATCATTTGAAGAAACAAACGCTGCAATCATTGATATTATTGCCGTTGTAAAGAAGCATCCAGTTAACGATTTACGTGGGGCCAACATTTACCTCCTTTACCAAGAACTTCACCTATTTTAGTTAACATAAAAATGTGATGTTTTCTAAAGTTTGCATAAACCATCGTACTCGTAGGATACTCGAGTTTGTTTCTGAATTTTTGTGAATCTTTGCAGCATAATCGGTATAGCTAAATTGAGAGATATCTCGGAGGATATCCCTAAGACCCGGAAGTAAGCCTGCTTTGCTATTTGTATATTGGTGATTGCGTTTGATTGACGTTTTGGAATAACCAGTATCTGTTTATAAAATACCTTCATATGGTATAAATAAGTGGTTAAGTTGCGTCATGACAAACATTACATACATATTGAGTCTTGAGTTCACATTACGTTAAAAATGTTGTTTATTTGCCTAATATATAGACGTTGTGTCCCATAACATTACTGAAATATATTATCAAAGGGAAGTAACTTGAAATAACATGAATCATCAATGACCAATTGGTAATATTGATGATAAGCTATAAGCTATAATAGATAATAATAAGAATTTACGTACCATAATGGACGAGACAGCTAGATCCTTCATGTGTAGATGTCCTAGAAATGAACTGTCAAGATAACTTCCTAGGTAGCTTGTGAAATCTTCCGGGTGGAAGTTAATCATAATGAGTAATAATCCAAAAATACACTTTTTCGTGTGAGTGGGATTAAGACGTCTAAATATTTGCCTAGTCAGCTAACCCAGCTTGAGTTCAGCTACCAACAGTCATATTACTCTTGACAATGCAAGTTGGAAATAAGGTTTGTATGCAATTAAATGAAATGAAAGGACACAGTGAAGACTATAAAAGCTCCAGGTGTATGTATTTATTGTAATACTTCTTTGTATATATGACTGATTATATCGTCATAGGTAGTATGTGTATGTGAACTGCCCCTGGAATATCGGACTGCCGTCACTTCCGGTGTGACATTAGATACCTTAAGTGATATCTTTTCCGGACAGTTAGTATTGAATACTTAAGCTACCGTCACACCAAACTAGTTCCAAGAACGTCCGACCCCATCCTACAAAAATAGTAGAACGGGTTGTGAAAGTGTAGAATAAGCAGGCAAATGTCTCAAATGCGATCATAGTTAGTTCACAAACAGTTCCCAATACGTCCACCTAGTCCTAATCCCGTTTATATAAAGTTCAGATCGGGTAAAATTGCCCCGTTCTGTTCATTGGAACACTGTTTCCAAACTCGTCTTTAATGAACATGTTCACATGTTCTTTATACGTCGAAATCCCTTCGTTAGTCAACTATCTGATTCAAAGACAGTTGATCTCGTTCTTATTACAGAGGGTTTCCCCTCTACCCTTTGATGACTCTATCTCCGAGTCAAATAGTCAGATGTCGGAGGAAGATGGAGAACAGAGTCAGAAGCAGAAAAAAGAAGAAAACCAGCTGCAAGATTATCCATGGTTCAAGGCGTAAAATAAAAAACTCTGCTCAAATGATGAACCAGTGATAAAACGGCCCGTATTATACAACACCTTGTCTAATTGTACCGCAGGCGGGGTTAGACGTAGTAAAAACTGAGTAAACGTACTCACAACGATTAGAGCGTACTGAGAACCTACTTCACACTTTTAGAACTGTGTGGAAACGCGTTGCAAACTTGTTTAGAACTTTTTGTTTGTTTTTATATTTAGACGGAATAACAATTAACGCACTAAGGACGTAGTGCGGTCGAATTGAGTGTGTCTGTGAATGGTATGAACGAGCTTTACACACGTACTACCAATTGACGCCGGATCCCATCATGTCATAACCCGTCACAATCCGTTTATAGTTCGTCAATTCCGTTTTAAGTATTTCGTCTAATTACAGAACGAGGAATATTTTCAATATTCTTGAACACCATTCCTGTTCAAATCCGTCCGAGCTTGTCCATGAAGTTTGAAATCAGACCTTAAACCGTTGCTATTACGTCTAGACGGTTTGAGGCCGTTCAGCTTTTTTCAGAACGCAGTAGGAAGCACATACAATTCTGGAAATTTGTTACATTTGTTGGAGAGTGACTTTCAGCTTGTCATCCACATAGTGTTTTCCAAGAGATCTTATCCGACGCCAGATTAAATAGGAATTGATGATATATTTTTTAGCTATATAAGTTAAGTTACTAGTTTATAAGCCGAATATGACTCCTTAGAATATTATATTAAAGTCGTACTTACTGCGAATTGAATTTGGATTATAAGGTATTATATGGTAAATGGTTTAAGATATAGGTCGTGAAGTTATTTGTAGGTCACTACAATTTGTAATCTGCTGATGTCCCATAAGAGCGCTAATGAGGACAGACATTTAGCAACATTTTTTCATGCAGAAAATACTTAATTATATTATGAATGGATATATTAAAAACTAAAGCAAACGTCAATTCTGTTTAAATGGCTGTAAAAACGATTATGTAACATGCCTTTTTAAGACGCAATTTGGAGACGAAAAATTAATTGATAGTCTTTTCGTCCTGGCGCATCACTTTGGATGTTGTTTGCCATTGAGTCCTGGGCACCTACTGGCCAGAAGTACACTTTTCCAATCTTCTTTTGTTAGATGGCCCAGATTTTGTGTGGATTTATTTATTATTTATATATACATGTAGTATTTGGTGTTATTAAGTTGCCTGTCGTCAAAGATGCCACTTCATCTAATGGTGAGAGCTACTGAATTTCTGTTATAATCTTAGTTAAGCTCTCTGTATAGAATTAGAAAAAAGAAAGAATCATACATATTCTAAAGATTAACAGCTTTGCTTCTAAAGAATGCTGTCTACCACCTGGTTATGGATTTCATCCCTTGAGTTACCCGTAACCATTCACAGCTGGGTCGACTGGAATTGTGAGGGAAGATGACTTTTCCAATCCAATACCCGGGAGAAAAATACTTGTCGGACAATGTTTAGCATAATGCAGAACCCCAAGTTGGCAAATATCAAGGTATATTATGTATTGAGGATAATGGTCAATCGTGATTTGTTTGTGGTCTTACATGTTGTTTCGAGGGATTTATAGGATTAACGAATTGCTCGGGTCGTCATACTGGACAGTGGGATATAATATTATGTAGAGTGTGCTACCATAATAATACTAATGTTTACAGTTCACATAACAAACTACATATCTTGCTGCCAACTAAACTATAAATCGTAAACAAATTGTTCTTTGGATACTCACCAAATTTGCTTTTACAGCAAATGAGATGTTTTTGTGACACCTGTCTCAAAGGATACTATAAACAGTTGTGGTGTTTTCGTTCAAATTGTCATGCTGTCAAAACGTTATACGGTATAATATGGATTAAGTATTGGTGTTAGTGCCTGTTCTCTCAAAGTACTAGTCAACAGTATATTTCAAGAGGTGAGGCGTAGCAAATATACTGACATTAAATGACCGATAATTTGGTTTTGTGTAATGAATTGAAAGGAATTGAAGCGATCAATGTGTTTTGTAACATTGAACTTTATCGGTTATAGAAAATCTTTATTAAATAGGAAAAATAAACGTCTGTCGTAATTTTGAACTTCTAACTCAAAGGTATGACCCCAGATAAAGTCGCTTAAAAGAATTTCCACTTTTTTGCACGTATCTCTTTGAATTAATTATACCAGAACAATTATATGTGTGGTTTAAAAGACGAAAAGATCGGGTTCTATACCTTTGTTTTTTACTTCAACAAAGACGTGGTTTCGTTCGGACCAAAATTTTTGACCAGCGTCCAAAGTTAACATGTGTACGCATTTGGCTTTCAAATAGAGAATTAATATGATCTCGACTTCATAATATTGTTATACGCATAACCTCGAGAAGACTATGACGGCTATGCCTCCAAATAAAATGTTGGAGCACTACACTCCAAGATTTCTTCCCAGTGCTAAAAGACTTAAATTTCCTTCTAAATGTATGAAAGTGTGGCTCGTGACCCTTAACAGTATATTTACAGTAAGTAATCTTTTTCATGTCACATTTGTGGGCTTCTAGTTTTATTCATTTGTGTGTTTCATAAATGTCGCATCTTGAAACACATTCTGACCACAGAATACCGTTATTATGACAGTCCTTTGCGGCGTAAGAATCCTTGATAGGCGTTTGAAGGCTGAATATCGCTGAAGTGACATATGAAGTTCACAAGCATTCTTCGACATTTTCTTAGTCTCAGAAACCGGAATTTGTAATGTAATAGTGTTCACAGCTCGACGTCGAAATGATAGCCTTCAAATCCTTGTTATATTTCTGATCATTTAACTTCAATAATTGTGATGGTCAAAATGTGGACGGAACACAATATATCAAAACAAGCACCTCCAGATCATAATGTCTGCTGTAGATGCTCACAGAAAAATAATAGCATCTCAATCAGATTTTCAAATGGATTTTTGTCTCGTTTCAGTTAATGGGAGGATGTATTTTAGGTTTAGGATGTGTGTTAAAATACAATTCTGAATTAATCCACGTGTACATTAGACCTATATTAGGAGCCTTCAAAGACAATGGAGAAGAGATTAGTTTACAAGAACTCTATGATGCATTGTCTGTTATATTTGTTGCTGTTGGTACATCCATGTTTATTGTGGGTTTCCTGGGCTGTTTTGGCGCTTGGTGTAACATGAAGTCCTTCTTGTTGATGGTATATTATCATTTTCGTTTTCTCTTTACAAGGATAACAAATAAGGTTAACGAAGTTTATTTCAACCAGCCCGTTCTTTAACAAACCTCATTGAGGATTATCTAAACCACTCGGTCGACTGGAATAATGAGAAAGATGACTTAACCACGGTCACGAAACTTTCAGTTTCACACGCCGACCAAAATAATAACCAACGCCCACCATGTGTTCGACCAACCTGAAGCAAAATCCACAGCTCTAACCGACTTTGCCAAAAAAAAAACTTCTATGATGTAAATGGATTACAGTTCCTGGAATCTTTAGGATTTTTTTTTGATTATTGAAGTTTATGCAAATACATGGGATATACATCCTCATGCTGTATGTTCTGTTCGGGCTAATATGGCGGGACTAAATCACATGGTATGCAAATGAAATATATTGTATCAGACACCCGTTTTATATACTATCTTTATGAGCATTTGTGGATCTTTTGCGTGAAGCTCATCTACACTTGAAATTGGGTTGAAAACTCCAAGCTTATATCGTGTTTAAATGGCCTCCGACCCTCAGGGGAACGACCAAGTGGGACGTGAAGCACAAATTCCTAAGGAGTGCTATGTAATAGATTTATCTCCCCTTAATCCTGTTTCTTTTCATTTTTTTCAGTACATCATCATATTGATGGTAGTAACATTGTCTGAAATTGTATGTGCTATATTATTATTAACAATGAAAAAACAGGTAAAAGACCAACTATTGTGTTACATTAATTCGAATTGAAATTTGTCCAGTATTCACTATAGTTATCATGTTCAGCTAATTGATTTTGTTTTATTTTCTTATAATAGGTTTATGCCGGCACGTATATCTGCTTTGCAAAATTTCTCCTTTGCGCCTTCATAATGGGGAATATAGTAAGAATCAATAGAAATAAGAACCCAAACTCTATTTTACACTTGAATTTTAGGGTTGGTAATTTGTAAATTATGGTATCAAACCTGAATTTCTGGCATAAATTTGAATGCAAACTGCACAGCGTGGTTGTACCTATCCAAATCGCAACCCATATTTCAAAATACACAACACAATAAAATGAAAGATATGGCTCTGTAATGAGCTCAATAAAAAAAACTGAGTGCTTGAAGGAGGAGACCAATGCCCAATGTCTGTACCAGCCAAGATGTTCTCTAAGTACACAGACAAGATTCGTGTAATGAACGCTAAATGGAATTATCTGAATTATATTTTAGATGGATATAACATTGCAACCGTTACTCAAAGCGGCTATACAGACAGACTACACTGGAGATGAAGGTGTTGATGTAACAACAATAGGAATGAATTACCTATTCACGGAGGTAAGTACATTAGACGACATTCAGTTTTTTTTTTATTATAGCTAGTTTACTGCATTCGCCATTCTTGTTTTTTTAATATTATTCTTCATAAATTTACGCTATTAAAAGTGTGCTAACATTTTATGTCTGACGACGAATATGATAGTTTCAGTGTGTGTCACAGCGTTTATTGAACTGTGCATTGAGTGGTTGAATATTTGATTAACTTTGAACTTGCCCATATGATAATTTTTTTAGAAAGATACATATATGATAAATAAATACAGTCCTCGTAGTAATGGACCTGAAATTAAATATAAAAACAATGCTCTTACAATCAGAAGCTTACATGGACAGGTACGCCATTCGTTCAAATATCCGTACCGTAGGCCCAGAAACAGGAATTTGTTAGCTAAGCTAATCAATAATAGCATCCACAGCTCACCTTCGCAATTTGAGACTTCAAATCCATGTGTGTCCAGAATTTTCTTGAGACTATGCCTTATTCAGAAAAGACATATATTGAAATAGGAAGATGATTCCTAGATTGATGAGGTACATTCGTATATTTCTAGTACTTCTGAAGACTATTTACATAATTATATTCGACACCCAAATCAATCCCCGACACTGGCGAATCTTTCCCTTTAAATCAAAATGTTATAGAATGACCTCGGGGATAGTCTTGTCCACCAGAGGAGACGTCAACCTATTGCTGTGAAAAACTGATACCAATAAACAATATTTACTAGTTTGAACCTGCTTCAAAATATCTAATTGGTTAAGATTATCATGGCAATTAACCAACCAATCAGAATTCTTAGTTTGAGTCTTTATGATTATCTTATCGTCACGATATTCCTAACAAAAGCACCTGACCGGTATTTGGGTCACAACCACCTACATAACAATGCACCAAGATAATTTCCGCGTATCCTCTATTACTACAGAGAAAATTTATTTTCAACGGGTTATATAAGTAATTTACCAGCTTGAAACCGTCTACAATAAATATTATTAATCCTATTTGTTTCCACCTGAGATTGTGACTTGAGTGATGCGACGGTTTGGTTGATGGACATATTCGAGTAGTGAATGGGTTCGGTCTTGGAAGCAAAAGAACTGGGGTGGGGGTGTTTGGGCATTTATTTTACACATACACCGGTAAGCGGTGAAAGCTGCTGCCTTTCTAAAAATGTTACGCAACCTATTTCAAGAATTAAGAAGCTAGATTTCGTTGATGCTGCCACTCACTATCTAGACAATGTGAATGACCGTGTGATTTTTACGCCATTGATTAACCTCTATCATCCAGACACTCTTTGTCTATGCACCGCTTCGACGAACGATAACCTAGACAGATTGCTCAAATTTTTGCAATTGACCAAGTCTACAATGACTATTAGATATCGAATATAAACAAACAAAAAAACTTGCAGGTTTTGCAATTTTGCCGTTTCATCCACGTCGGATTGAAAATTCAATTTTTTATTCCCACCCTATATCCTCGTCGTGGAAAGAAGTTTTAACGTCAGAGTCTAGCCATTGTTCAAACTTGCTACTGATATAAAGATGGCTTGGCAGAAAGGTAATATACGTCCACTGGCCGCTTTGATTTTAAATAGAAATATTTGACAGTAACAATTACCAGTATGAAATATTCAACCTTAAAGTCTTACACTTCCTTTGAACTTTTTGGGGCGATGCTGTATATTACCAAGTTTCGTCAAAATCTGTCAAGAACTGGGCCTTCTAGAGTGTTTACAGGCTAAAACTAGATCGTGTTTTTAAGAACAAGGGCAATAACTCAAACTAAATATTTTTCAATTCTTCTGATTCGATTGGTTTTTGTTGATAACAAACATTCACACCAACTTTCGTCAAAATCTATCAAGGATTGTTCCTTCTAGAGTGTTTATAATATGAATATGAACGTATTTTCAAAAACAAAAGCAATAACTCATACTAATTATTTGTCGATTTTTCTGATTTTCAATAGGGTTTATATATGGGTGAATACAAACAATCATACCAAGTTTCGTCAAAATCAGTCAAGAATTGTGCCCTGTAGAGTGTTTACGAGCAATTGTGGACGGACCGACGGACGCACGGGTTACGACTATATGCGCCCCGCATTTCATGTGGGTGTATAGAAATGAGCATGCCTGGTATGGTGATATTCTTACTTTCTTTTTTCTGTTTCTCCTGCAGTCTTTCGGGAAGATAATGGGCAATGCACTATATATTACGCATCTTCATCCATTGCAGTCTTTGTGGGACTTTGCTGAAATTTTGCATTTTTTTCATTTTTTTTTGCTTTTTGTCTGATTAATCTGAAAAAATTGAGCAAAGACAGTTTAAGAATGTAAACAAAATGGTACAGTCAAATTTTCAATTTCACTTCCGGTTTAAACAGGAAAACGATGTTCACTTCCGGTTGAATATCTTCCGGTGTAATTTGTATAGGACAAAAATTTTTATGCTGATAGGTAGACAAAGTTATGACAAAAAAACGAAGAAAAAAAAATCCGGAACAGACGTGAAACTTTGGCCGCCATTTTGATTTTTCTGAAATGATTCGATTTTTATTCAGACATAATGGCTCATCCGATTTAAATGATTTTGGTGTCAAATGAAAGAAGATAAAAAAAAAACATGACATTAGGAAGCCGTTTTTCGATTCTCAATTTTGCTTTTTTGCAACATCCGGTTGAATTTTTTCAAAGTTTGAAGGGTCATATCTCGTGATCGTGAACTTTGATGACCTTGACCTTCATAAGGTCAAAGGTCATTGACCTTAGCTATCAGTTAATACTTTGACATTTGACCTCCGACATGTACTTCCGGTTTTATAGCTGTCCGAAAACAGCCAAATTCGCAACTTTGGACTGCTCTAGCACGTGACCTATTTAACCTAGAGGGTTAATTTTTTCGGATTCTTAATGTGCTTTTCATGCTCTTTCAAATGATTTATAACAATCGTTTTTTAAAGCAAAATTGAAATTCGTGAATTTTTCAAATTTGAGTTTTTTTTACAATATTTCTGTTTCTTTGAGCTTGGTGTGTATGTATCTTATGACCTATTTTATGTAGAACATTGAAACTTGGAACACAACAAGACAATTTGAATATGAATTAACCTATGACAAAAAAGTTGAGGTGGGCGTGGCACATCCGGGTTGAATTACTAATTGTTTACATTTTGAGAAAGGGGCATAACTCGCATAGGATACAATTTGTTCAAAAAGGAACTTTGCACACAATTACCTCATTATTTTGGCCAGTTTGTGTTAATAGGTCAATTGTTTCAGCTTTATAGTTCCAAAAAAGGAACGGGTTTTGAAATTTCCATATTTTCAATTTTCTATTTTGACCTTTATTGACTCTTGTTGACCTATATCTTTTGACCTGTATGATGTAGAAGCTTTAAATTTGGAACACAACTTAACATTCAGAATATCAATTAACTTATGCAAAAGAAATTGAGGTGAGCCTAGCACATCCGGGTTAAATTACTCATTATTGACAATTTTGGCAAGGTACATAACTCGCAACGTATACATTTGTTCAAAATGGAACTTTGCATACAATTACTTCATACGTTGAGCCACGTTGTCTTGGAAGTTCGATTGTTTCAGCTTTATAGTTCAAAAAAAGGAACAGCTTTTGAAAATTCAAAATTTTCAATTTTTGACCTTGACCTTTTTTGACCCTGATTTTTGTAGGATTAAAGGTCATTCACATTGGCTATCTATTTATACTTTTATATTTGCTGTCCTATCTCAACTTCCGGTTTTATAGCCGTATATATTTAAAAATTTTGATGACTTTTATCTCGTAACCTTGACCTTTGTTGACCGTCTCCCTTTCAATGTCAAATGTCATTGACCTTGGCTATCTTCTGATACTTTCATTTGTGCGGTCTGTCTACTTCCGTTATAACAATCTTCCAAAGAATTCTTCTCAACTTTAGACTGCTTTTGCGCGTGATGTAATTATCGTAGAAGGTTGATTTTTTCAGAGTCTTTTGCAATTTGCTATATTTGCAAAGTCCCACTCTGTGCCACGTGTGGCTCTAGTTTATTTTTGTGATGCCCTCCAAAATTGACAATATTTCCAACCATGATGTCTTTCATTTCGTTTCAACTTTCTTCAACGAGCGATTGAAATGAGTTGGAGAAGTTTGCCATATGTGAACATCACGAGTAGGCTTCTTGAGGTTCAGGTTTGATTGAAGTTGCGGATGAAAATGTTGGCTGTGTAAACCTATCTTTAAGGACCTGTCTTGTATTGCATGATTGATCTATCTAGAGTGCGAGAATATATTTTACGTTTTGAATTTTGGAATCAATTTTCGTCCGGTGGACAAATCAAATCAGTATTCTTTCCAATGCAGATTGATGATCTTGCTCTTTTTCAGTATGATTGTTGTGGAGTTCACAACTATACAGATTTACATCAAGCAGAGAATTGGATCAGGGATGTCTCTCTCTATGGTTTAACGTTTCAGATGCAAATACCACTGATGTGTTGTAAACTAGAGGGCACCTATCCTAATATCATCATACCAGACGATAAAACTTGTACCATGTTGCCAGATCAAAACAATTCTTTTTACCACAAGGTAACAACTTTATTTCAGTCCAGACTCGTCGTCGAAACCACAATATCTCAAACACAAGACAATATTATGAATTAAACACACCTCTTTAATGAAATTAGGCACATGCCGTTTCAACACAATTTACACTTACCCCATCGGTACCTTAATAAGAGTAAAATGGAGGAACAGGAAATTGTCACGGAACAATAAGAAATCATGATAAAAGTAATTCTTGATATGAAAACATTTGAGGTTATAGAAAACCACCATTGTGCCGAGGGAATTATGCAAGCTAGATCAGATAATTTTATCAAGCGCGACTGTCTGTTAAACAGTGGCTTTTCTAGGAAACATTTGGTGAGGGAGCCAAGCAGAGGCCAAAAAATTTCCAATCGGGGGGGGGGGGGGGGGGGGGGGGGGGGGGGGGG